ATCGCATCCGAAATTCCAGTTTGAATTTTTTTAGTTTTTAGATTTTTCTACTTTTGAATATTTCATTTCATAATTTGTTTTGACAATTTTGCATTTTTTAATTCCACTCTTTTAAATTGAAAATGTAACTGCAAAATCGAAAAATAGAATAATTGAAAAATTATAAAATTTAAAAAAATCAAAAAATCAAGAAGTTGAAAACCTGAAAAATCGAGAAATTAAAAAAAGGCGAAACATCGAGAAATTGGAAAATTGGTAAATCGATAAACCCCAAAAAAGAAAAATTGAAACATGAAATGATCGAGAAATCAAAAAATTAAAAATTGAAAAATTGGAAAATTTAAAAAATTGAAAAACCGGGAGACCGAAAAAATCATCAAGAAATTGAAAAATCTAAAATTCTAAAAATCGATCTGGAAAAATTGAAATCGGAAAATAAAATAATCGTGAAATCGAGACATCGGAAAGTCGACGAATTGAAAAATCGAAAAATTTATAACTTTATAAATGAAAAAGCCGAAAAATTAAAAAATGTAAAAATCGAAAAATTTTGTAAACTAAAACATCGAAAGCGCGATAAATCCGGAAATCAAAAAATTGGAAAATCGAAAAATTGAAAAACCGAAAACCTAACCCTTGAAGTCGAAAAATCGATCACCAAAAATTAATACTTGTAAAGGTACTTGCCCCGCCCACCCACCCATTATTTTCTTAAAAAAATAGGTCATCTGCCAAAAACAATCTTATCTCGGAAAGTATGAGACTGATTTTTGCAAATGATATATCCTTTAAGAAAATAAGGGTGGGTGGGCGGGGCTCTGACTTAACAAGATAAGATAGATTTTGGCAGATGACCCACTCTTCCAAGAAAATAAAGGGTGGGTGGGCGGGGCTAGTACTTGCTAAGATAAGATTGATTTTGGCAGACGACTTATTTAAAAAAAAAAATAAAAAAATAAAAAATCAAAAATCGACAAATTGAAAAATCTGATAAATGAGAAATCGGAAAATTGTACAACTGAATAATCATTTTTTTTAGTTTTTAGCTTTTTCAGCTTTTGAATATTTCATTGGATAATTTGTTTGACAATTTTGCATTTTTTAATTCCAATCTTTTGATTTGTAACAATTTTTAACTTTACAATTTTGCAATTTTTTGATTTTTAATTTTTCAAGTTCTCAATTTAAAATTTTTCCTTTTCAAGATTTGTCACTTTCGAGTTTTTAACTAAAAGGGGAAATTTATTCGAACCGAAATTTTGAAAAATTGAAAAATACAAAATGTAATTGCAAAGTCGAAAAAGTTAAACGTTGAAAACTTGATAAATTCAGAAATCGAAAAATTGGTAAATGAAGAACAATTGGTGAATGAAATTGAAAGATCGAGAAACCGAAAAGGTGAAAAATCGAAAAATAAAAAAATGGAAAAATCGAAAAATTTTGCTAATCGAAACATGGAAAGCTCGATAGATCCGGAAATCGAAAAATTGAAGAACCTAAAATTCTAAACCTGCGAAGTCGAAAAATAAAATCACCAAAAATTAATACTTGTCAAAGTACTAGCCCCGCCCACCCACCCTTTGCTTTCTTCGAAGAATAGTTCATCTGCCAAAAACAACCTTATCTTGACAAGTATGAGACTGATTTTTGCAAATGACATATCCTCTAAGAAAATAAGGGTGGGTGGGCGGGGTTAATACTTATCAAGATAAGACTGATTTTGGCAGATGACCCACTCTTTAAAGAAAATAAAGGGTGGGTGGGGGGGCTAATATTTGTCAAGATGAGACTGATTTTGGCAAATGATATATCCTCTAAGAAAATAAGGGTGGGTGGGCGGGGCTAGTACTTGCCAAGATAAGATTGATTCTGGCAGACTTTTTTTTTAGAATCAAAAATCGACAAATTGAAAAATCGGATAAATGAGAAGTCGGAAAATTGTACAACTGTATAATCAGACAATCAGAAATTGAAATATCGAAAAATTGAAAAAACAAATCGTATAAAATCGAATTCGAAATTCCAGTTTTAATTTTTTTAGTTTTTAGATTTTTCTATTTTTGAATATTTCATTTGATAATTTGTTTGACAATTTAGCATTTTTTAATTCCACTCTTATGATTTTTCAATTTTTTACTTTAGAATTTTGCAATTTTGTGATTTTTAATTTTTCAAGTTCTCAATTTAAAATTCTTTTTCTTCACGATTTGTCATTTTTCGATTTTTTAAATAAAAGGGAAAATTTATTCGAACCGAAATTTTGAAAAATTGAAAAATCCAAAAATTGAAAATGTAACTGCAAAATCGAAAAATAGCAAAAAATCAAGAAGTTGAAAAACTGAAAAATCGAGACATTACAAAAAGGCGACACATCGAGAAATTGGAAAATTGGTAAATCAAAAACCTAAAAACCGAAAAATTGAAACATAAAAAAATCGAGAAACCGAAAAATTAAAAATTGAAAAATTGGAAAATTTAAAAAACTGAAAAATCGGAAAATCGAAAAAATCATCAAAAAATTCAAAAATCTAAAATTCTAAAAATCGATCTGGAAAAATTGAAATCGAAAAATAAAATAATCGTGAAATCGACATATCAGAAAGTCGAAGAATTGAAAAATCGAGAAATTGATAAATCTATAAATGAAAAAGCCAAAAAATCGAAAAATTTTGTAAACTGAAACATCGAAAGCTCGATAAATCCGAAAATCAAAAAATTGGAAAATCGAAAAATCGAAAAATTGAAAAACCGAAAAATATAAACACAAAAAGTCGAAAAATTGAATCACCAAAAATTAATACTCATCAAGGTACTAGCCCCGCCCACCCCCCCACCCTTTATTTTCTTAGAAGAATAGGTTATCTGCCAAAAATAATCTTAGCTTAGCAAGTATGAGACTGATTTTTGCAAATAATATATCCTTTAAAAAATAAGGGTGGGTGGGCGGGGCTAGTACTTGTTAAGATGAAATTAATTTTGGCAGATGACCCTCCTTTCTAGGAAAATAAAGGGTGGGTGGGCGGGGCTAGCACTTGTCAAGATGAGACTTATTTTAGAAAAGACATCCTCTAAGAAAATAAGGGTGGGTGGGCGGGGCTACTACTTGTCAAGATAAAACTGATTTTGGCAGTTGACCCACTTTTCTAAGAAAAAAAGGGTGGGTGGGCGGGGCTAGCACTTGTCAAGTTGAGACTGATTTTAGCAAAGAAATATCCTCTAGGAAAATAAGGGTGGGTGGGCGGGGCTAGTACTTTCCAAGATAATATTGATTTTGGCAGACGACTTATTCTTCTAAAAAATTAAAAAAATTAAAAACCAAAAATCGACAAATTGGAAAATCGGATAAATGAGAAATCGGAAAATTGTACAACTGTATAATAGGAAAATCAGAAATTGAAATATCGAAAAATTGAAAAAAACAATTCTTATAAAATCGAATTCCAAATTCCAGTCTTCACTATTTTTAATATTTAAATTTTTCAACTTTTGTTAATTTACTTGACAATTTTGCATTTTTTAATTCCAATCTTTTGATTTTTCAATTTTCAATTTTACATTTTTGCAATTTTTTGATTTTTAATTGGTCAAGTTCTCAAAAAGGACAAATTTATTCAATCCGGAATGCTGAAAATTGATAAAATCAAAAATTAAAAACGTAACTACAAAATCGAAAAATAGGAAAATTGGAAAATCTAAAATTTAAAAATCGAGAAATCAAAATGTCGAAAAAATGAAGAATCGAAAGATCGGAAAATCAGAATTTAAAAAATTCCCAAAATCGAAATGTTGAAAAATTAAAAATCGAAAACTTATAAGATCTCCGTTTTTTCATTTTTTTCACTTCATTTTTCTATATAATTTTTGGATTTTTCAGATTTTCGCTTCTTCAATTTTTCAATCTTAAAATTCTTTGTTTTGCAATTTTTAGAGTGCACATTTTTCGATTTTTTAGTTTCCCGATTAATAATTTTTCAATTTTTTAGTTTTTTCAATTTTCAGTTTTCGTGTTTTAAATTTTTTGATTTATACTTTTCATTTCTACAATTTTTCGATTTTTACGTTCTTTGATTTTTCAGTTTTTCATTTCTTCATTTTTTTATTTATAAATATAGTTTATATTTTTGTTTTGCAATTTTTCGACTTTTTTACTCGTCTCTCTGAATCAAATTATTTTTTTTATTGAAAATGGAAAAATATTTAGAGAAACGGTTGTATGTATACCGAAAAAGTCACATATTTTTATAAAACTGGACACGTCTTGGTGTTTGGGTAATAGAAAAAAATTTAAATTATCTACTTAAAAATTAAAAGATCACTCAAGCGGCAACATAGTACGAAAATTCAACCGACAACATCGTCTAGGGAAATTTTTAGTACCAAGATGTGCTACTAAAAAAATTGAGGTTAGGCTGATTATGATTTTTGTTCAAAACACGTAGCTTTTATTAATTTTATTTTGATATTTTTGTCATGAAATTTCAAATTTGAAGTTTTTGTACTGCCAACTTACCAGTGTAAAAATAAGCCCTAGAGGTCTTTTATTTGGTACCAACTTAATTCAACTGTTTTTTTAAATTTTTGTATAAAGAGTGGATAAAAGATTAAAAACGTTGCGCTCTAAATTTTGTTAAAGTTTTTGCAGGTGAAGGCGTGGGGTGGAACATCTAGATTTTATAAGTCTATGGATTAACTTCCTGTTGAACATAACCTCATAAATCCTGGCTAACATCCCAGCGTTCTGGATTCTCGTTGTAATTTTGTATTTGTATTCGTTATGTTAAAATGTAACCACTTCGGTTCAATTTTATATTTAACAATGTTTATTTGTATAATTTTCTGTTGTCAGCTGTCAACTTTGACAGCCTACTATTGACATTAAAAAAAAAGATGTAGCTCTTTTTCCTAAATGGGTACCAATGGAAAGTGTGGGTGCAATAAACAACTAGGCAGTCTTTGATGATTTAATTTCTTTTATTCTTACATAAATAATACATCTCTATATTACACTAGTAGTAGTAATACTTAGTAAGGAGTAACAATAAATAAATTTCAAATATCACCTAATTATAATCGCTGAAATATTGTCAAAACAATTCCAAATTGACAAAAACAAGAAGATTAATTTTTAAACGTTAGGTTATAATTTTCCTCTTTCTAATTATTATATATTTATCTGTATTAGGTAATTAGATCAAATTTCATTATCGCAGTGAGTCACACACCTTCAAAACTGTACTGACACTTGAAAAAATTAAACCATGAAAAAAATAAGCATCATACTAAAAGCCTGTTACACCTACACAACTCTACTCTCCAATAACACAACGAAATAATCACAGTCAAAAATGTTTAGTCTTAAGTACATATAAATTATTTACAAAAATAATTTAAAAAGCTGAAGACGTGCGCACCAAAGCTCGCTTGCACTACGCCCAATATGAAAATAAAAAAATCTGTCTCGATCTCACTTAATTTAGTGGAGAATCATCGATGCGCACTTCCCCAAGAATTTGTTACTAAATTAAAAGCAAAATATTTGAATATCACGATGGTAAAGAAGGCGTTCTAGTTCGACTATTTGCACGGCGTGGAATTGATGAATGACCGGTGTAACGTTGGGGCGATGGGGGCTCTCCGGGTTTCCTCCACAGTTTTGATGATGGTTTCTTCGCCTGGCAATCGGTCTGGAGGAGGGGACGAGATCTTCTTTGTTGGGGAGATTCATTCGCACTGGAACAACGCCAAAGCGACAATTAAAAAATCAACGTGGAAGAGCGAAGCGATGATCAAGCGTGAGCGCATTTACGAGACGAGGAGTTTACGTTGCCGCTTTCGCACTCCTGTCATCATCCGTACTTTTTATTACTTTCCTCCCTCTGTTGTTCGGCACGTAGGTCATCGAATTTTTCATTTTGGGTGAAACACAGGTGGCGCATTGTGGATGTGGCGAATCATCTTATTTTATTTAACAGTTGGAGGAGACGCTGTCTGCCCCACCTGTGTTTTATACGTGTTCTGAACTTTAATACGAATTTTGACATGTTATAAGTTTCCGCGTGTCGTATTAAACAAGTTTTCATACAACATCAACATTCACATATATCTTACCCGAAATTGCTACATGGCAGCATGAAACATTTAAATACACGATTACAAGTTTTAGATAATGGACAACAATATTTAATATAAAAATATCTCCAATTTAAGTTGAATGAAAATTTTAAGGCAAAAAATATTACGACGTGTTAAAGCACCAATAATTTTTTTAAGTTTATAAAAATATTTAAGACTCTTCAATGAACGGGTTGTAGTAACAGGAACTACAAGAATATAAAATGTTTAGAAGGCACAACAAATTAACAGCACACAAAACAACCACACCAAATAAGAGATCAGCTAACACTACCTTCCCAATCCTAAAGCTGTTTCCAAGAGGGCGAATCACGAAGCAGCACAAAGAGACAGAATTAGATCAAAATGACGTCAGATTAGTCTGCGTTGTATGGGTTTTGCAAAATTATTAAAAACAAAAAAATATTGCATGATCGATTCGGCGCAGATAATCAAGGTTTTTGTGCCTGAGGTGTGTTTACTACACAGAGAAGTGCGACTTAAAAAATAAATGGGCGGTAAAAAATTATCAGCGCTGTGTTAATTGTTCTCGATAACAATATGGTAATATTTTTATAGTGATAAAGTATGGCAAGTTACGTGTTTAACTTATCGTACAACAATTAAAATTTTTCAGTGTTGTATTTTCATAAGCAAGTTGTTTTTATTTTTTTCATCTGAGAACACGTCCTATTATTTGTTTTCCGACGTAACATAAATATTTAGGTTTTTTATTTTTTATGTTTTAGTTTATGTAGATGGTAAACCGAAACCAAAATTAGTTTGATCTTCTTCAGCAACAAACAAATTACGTAAATGTTATTTAAATGGTATAAAATAACATACTCTTCCATTTTGAATTGCGAATCCGTGTTGAGTCTTTAACCTAGGGATCTAGATTTTTGGAAAAAATTCAAAATTGTATTAAAATTTTACGAATTTTTGATTCCTCGATTTTTTATTTTTCGATGTCACATTTTCCGACTTTTAGATTTTCCCATTTCTCAACTTTTCGATGTTTTGATTGCTCAACGTCTCGATTCTTCAGTTTTCATTTCTGCATTTTGTGGATTCTTTATGTTTCTTCAATTCTTCAGTTTTTCCATTGATTTATCAGGTTGTTGATCTTTCGTTTCGATTTCTATTTCTTGATTGAGATTTGATGTTTAGATTTCGCGATGTTTTGTTTTCCGATTTCCAGGTTTTTCACCTTTCGGCTTTTCGATTTCGCGACATGTAGGGTTTTCTATTTTAAAATTGTTCTATTTTTCGATATCTGAATTCTTCAATTTTCTCTTTTTTTAGACATTTGAAATTTTAGATTTTTCAATTTTTCGATTTTTTATATATTAAGATTTTTTAATTTTTGATGATTCGAATTCTAAATCTTCCGACTTTTCGGTTTTTCCATTTTTCGATTTTTAAAATTTTTCCAGATTTTCAATTTTCAATTTTTCAATTTCTCGATCTTTTCATGATTCAATTCTTCGATGTTTCGATTTTCCGATTTCTAAGTTTTTCGATTTTTCGACTTTTAGGCTTTTCGATTAATCAATCGTAGAATTTTGTGATTGGAATTTTCTTTGAGATTTTCAATTTTTCATTTTTTTGAATTCTTTGAATTTTAGTTTTCGGTTTTTCAATTTTTTGTTTTTCAACATTTCAATTCTCGGATTTTTTTCATTTTTAGAATTTTCGATTTCTCGATTTTTCAGTTACTCTATTTTTCATTTTCCGACCTTTCGGCTTTTCGATTTAATTAATCTTCCAATTTCTTGATGTTTCGAATTTTCAATTTTTCGTTTTTCGATTTTTCGATTTCTCAATTTTTCAACATTTCAATTCAGGGAACTTTTTCAATTTTAAATTTTTCGATATCTCGATTTTTCAGCTCTTCTATTTTTCATTTTTTCGATGATTTTTCCGATCTTCCGATTTTTCGACTATTCAATTTCACGATTCTTCGATTTTTCAATTTTTTGATTTATCGATATTTTTAATTTTCCAAATTTTTCGAAGTTTAGATTTTCCGATTTTTCCACCTTTGGGCTTCCGATTTACCAATCTTCCAATTTCTCGATGTTTCGACTTTTTCTAATTTCCCGCTTTTTCAGTTTAAAACTTTTTAAAATGGTTCGATTTTTAGATTTCCCGAATTTTCAAGTTTTGGATTTCTGACTTTTTTCCACTTTTCGGCTTTGGATTTTTCAGTTTTTCAATTTTTCCGATATTCTGGTTTTAGAATTTTTTGATTTTTAAATTTTTTAAATTATTCCCATTTTTCGATTTCTCGACTTTCAGGTTTTTCGATTAATCAATCTTAGAATTACGTGATGTTTCGAATTTTTAATTTTTCACTTTTTGGATTCTTCAAGTTTTCAATTTTCCGTTTTTCAATTTTTTGATTTTCCAACATTTCAATTCTGGGATTTTCTCAATTTCTGGATTTCACTTTTCGATTTTTTATTTTTTCGATCTTTTCAATTTTAGATTTTTCGAATTCTTGATTTATCAGTTCCTCTATTCTTAATTTTTTCAAATTTTTAAATTTTGGATTTTTCAATTTTTTCATGATTTTTCCGATCTTACGATTCTTCGATTTTTCAATGTTTTGATTTATCGATTTTTAAAATTTTCTCATTTTTCGAAGTTTAGATTTTCTGATTAGGTTTTTCGACTCTTCCACCTTTGGGTTTTCGATTTACCATTCTTCCAATTTCTCAATATTTCGACTTTCTCTAATTTCTCGCTTTTTCAGTTTTTCGATTCTTTAATTTTTCGATTTTCCAATTGTTTGATTTTTCGGTTTTTCGCTTTTTAAAATGGTTCCATTTTTCGATTTGTCGATTTTTCAAGTTTTCGATTTCTCAATTTTTCAACATTTCAATTTTGAGAATTTTTTAATTTCTGGATTTTTCAATTTACCGATTATTTATTTTGTCGACATTTTAATTTTTCGAGTTTGCAGTTCCATTTTTTATTTTTCAATTTGTCGAATTTTGATTTTTAAATATTTTTATTTTCTTAGAAGAATAAGTCGTCTGCCAAAATCAATCTTATCTTGGAAAGTACTCGCCCCGCCCACCCACCCTTATTTTCTTAGAGGATGTCATTCGCCAAAGTCAGTCTCATCTCGACAAATATGTATTAGCCCACCCACCCTTTATTTTCTTAGAAGAGTGGGTCATCTCCTATAATCAGTCTTATCTTAACAAGTACTACCCCCGCCCACCCACCCTTTATTTTCTTAAAAGAGTGGGTCATCTGCCAAAATCAATCATATCTTGACAAATACTAGCCCCGCCCACCCACCCCTTCCCAAGATAAGATTGTTTTTGGCTGATGACCTCGATTCTTCTAAGAAAATAAAAGGTGAGTGGGCGGGGATTTTTCAGTTTTTCGATTTGTCAATTTTTGGGATTTCTCAACATTTTGATTCTAAAATTTTTCGAGTTTTCGTTTCGATTTTTCAATTTTCGATTCTTTGGTGTCTCTCAATTTTTTTATGCTTCTTCAATTTTTAGACATCGGATTTTTAAATTTTCCTGATTCTTCGATTTTACATTTTTTGATTTTCCAATTTATCGGTTTTTTTTTAAATTTTCGAATTTTACAATTTTTAATTTTTCGATTTTCCGTTTTTCCAATTTTTCGAGATTTCAGTTTCGATTTTTTAATTTCTCGATTATTCAGTTTTTCTTTTTTTCTGTTTTTAATTTTTCAATTTTTCATTTCTCGACTTCTCGGTTTTTCGATTTTTAAAATCATTCGATTTTTCGATTTTTCAAGTTTCCGATTTCCCATTTTTCAACATTTCAATTTTGGACTTCTTTAAATTTTTCAGTTTTTCGAATTTTTAAATTTTTTATGCTTTATTTTCTCGATCTTTCGACTTTTGACTTTCAAATTTTTCAGATTTTTCGGTTTTTCAATTTTCTAATTTTTACATTTTTTTTTTTTATTTTAAAATACCGACAAATTGAACAGTCGAGAAGTCGAAAAACTGAAAAATCGAAATAGCATAAAATCGAAAAATAGGAAAAATTTGAATAAATCGATAAATTCAAAAATTAAAAATTTGAAAAACCGAAAAACTCTAAAATTAAACAATCGAAAAATAAAATCATAGAAATTTCGGTAAATCCAGAAATTGAAACACTAAGGAATTTTAAAACCGAAAAGTTGAAAAATCGAAAAATCGAAATAGCATAAAATCGAAAATAGGAAAATTTAAAAAAATCGATCAGAAAGTTAAAAATTTAAAAATTCAAAAATCGTTAAATTGAACAATCGAAAAATAAAAACATGGAAAACTCGATAAATTCGAATATCGACAAAATAAAAAACTTTGAAAACCGAAAAACTACAAAATCGAAAAATTTTAAAACCGAAAAGTTCAAAATTGAAAAACCAATAAAATAAAAAAACGAAAAATTGAAAAACCGAAAAAATCTAAAACAGAGAAGACCAGAAATCGAGAAGTCGAAACACCGATAAATCGAAATAGCATAAAAATTCAAAAACCGAAAAATCGTAAAATTGAACAATCGAAAAATAAAAACATGGAAATCTCGATAAATTCAAAAATCGTCAAAATAAAAAATTTTAAAAACCGAAAAACCAAAAAAGTCGAAAAATTTTAAAACCGAAAAATCTAAAAACAGAGAAGACGGAAACTCGAAGAAACGGGAAATCGAAATACAGATCAGAAATTGAAAAAATTAAAATTTGGAAAATTCAAAAATCGAAAAATAGAAACTTCAAAAAAATCGAAAAATTGATGTCAATCGAAAAACTCACACATCGAGAAAAACTGAAAAATCGTGAAATCGAAAGGTCAAAAAATCGAAAAATTAAAGATTGAAAAACTGAAAAACCGATTTTTCGATTTCTGGATTTTATCGAGTTTTCGAAGTTTCGATTTTTTTTTCAATTGTATAATTTCCAATTTTTCAATTGTTAATTTCCCGATTTTTCATCTTTTGGATTTCAACTTTTCTACATTTAAATTTTGGGAAATTCTTCAATTTTTCGAACGAAAAATGAAAAAAATGTTCGATGTTTAGAGTTCTTTGATCTTTGTATTGCTCAATCTTTCGATTTTTCGAATTTTGATATGTGATTTCATTTTAAAAGATCGAGAAATTGAACAATCGAGAAGTCGAAACACCGATAAATCGAAATAGCATAAAAATTCAAAAACCGAAAAATTGTAAAATTGAACAATCGAAAAATAAAAATATGGAAATCTCGATAAATTCAAAAATCGTCAAAATAAAAAAAATTAAAAACCGAAAAACCAAAAAAGTAGAAAAATTTTAAATCCGAAAAATCTAAAAACAGAGAAGACGAAAACTCGAAGGAACGGGAAATCGAAATACAGATCAGAAATTGAAAAAAATCAAAACTTGGAAAATTCAAAAATCGAAAAATAGAAACTTCAAAAAATCGAAAAATTGTTGTCAATCGAAAAACTCAAACATCGAGAAAAACTGAAAAATTGAAGATTGAAAAACTGAAAAACCGATTTTTCGATTTCTGGATTTTATCGAGTTTTCGAAGTTTCGATTTATTTTTCAATTTTATAATTTCCAATTTTTCAGTTGTTAATTTCCCGATTTTTCATCTTTTCGATTTCTCAACTTTTCTACATTCAAATTTTGGGAAATTCTTCAATTTTTCGAACGAAAAATGAAAAAAATGTTCGATGTTTTGAATTCTTTGAACTTTGTATTGCTCAATCTTTCGATTTTTCGGATTTTGATATGTGATTTCATTTTAAAAGATCGAGAAATTGAACAATCGAGAAGTCGAAACACCGATAAATCGAAATAGCATAAAAATTCAAAAACCGAAAAATTGTAAAATTGAACAATCGAAAAATAAAAACATGGAAATCTCGATAAATTCAAAAATCGTCAAAATAAAAAAATTTAAAAACCGAAAAACCAAAAAAGTCGAAAAATTTTAAAACCGAAAAATCTAAAAATATAGAAGACGAAAACTCGAAGGAGCGGGAAATCGAAATACAGATCAGAAATTGAAAAAAATTAAAATTTGGAAAATTCAAAAATCGAAAAATAGAAACTTCAAAAAAACGAAAAATTGTTGTCAATCGAAAAACTCAAACATCGAGAAAAACTGAAAAATTGAAGATTGAAAAACTGAAAAACCGATTTTTCGATTTCTGGATTTTATCGAGTTTTCGAAGTTTCGATTTTTTTTCAATTTTATAATTTTTAATTTCCAATTTTTCAATTGTTAATTTCCGGATTTTTCATCTTTTCGATTTCTCAACTTTTCTACATTTAAATTTTGGGAAATTCTTCAATTTTTCGAACGAAAAATGAAAAAAATGTTCGATGTTTTGAGTTCTTTGATCTTTGTATTGCTCAATCTTTCGATTTTTCGGATTTTGATATGTGATTTGATTTTAAAAGATCGAGAAATTGGACAATCGAGAAGTCGAAAAGCCGAAAAATCGAAATAGTTTAAAATAAAAAAATTGAAATGATTTTAAAAATCGATGAAAATGGAAAGTTAAAAAATTGAAAAATCGAAAAACCTAAAACAGAGAAGACGAAAACTCGGCGGAGCGGAAAATCGAAATATCAGAAATTGAGAAATTTAAAATTTAAAAATTCGAAAAATTCAAAAATCGAAAAATAGAAATTTCAAAAAATCGAAAAATTGATATATCAATCGAAAAACTAAAACATCTAATAAAAACTGAAAGATTGTGAAATCGAAAAGCCAAAAAATCGAAAATTTTAAGAAAAGAAAAACTGAAAAACCGATTTTCGATTTCTGGATTTATCGAATTGTCGATTTTTTTTAATTTTCAATTTTTAATTTTGGGAATTTCTCCATTTTTCGAACGAAAAATTAAAAAACGTTCGAATTTTTTCATGTTTGGGTTGATCGATCTTTGGATTTTTCGTATTTCGATATTTGGGTTTTTAAATTTTTCGACTTGTTTTTCGAAATGTTTCATTTTTCAATTGTTCCAGATTTTTTTTTTATATCTCTGAGATGTTACAATTTTTCGAAAAGCATTTTTTTTCCACTGGTTACCTGCTTAAAAAATATTTCATATCGTTCATACTTGTACGGCCCACGTAGCCTTAGAATTTGCATCCTTTTGGGACAGGGGCTGGAGGAGTTTAATTTACTTTATAGAGATTATCAGAAAACAAAAACCGCAATTTTTTTACAATTTTTCAAAGGGACGGGATTTCACCATTTTTTTTTAGTAAAGCACAAAAACCTTGATTACTTAAATGAGAGTCATACCCCATGTCAAAGTAAAAATCTACCAGCAAGAACATTTACCTGACTAGAGATCCAACGCTGCTACCATCAGTCGGCGAGCCATTAAGCAAGGAAGGACCAGCTGATATTGGACGAATCTGCAACCCGAACAAAAAATAACTAATCCCTTTAACCCCATCCTAACCCACCCTTTCTGTCTGGGTGGCAGCGTTACAGGTGGCGTATTCGGCCGCAACCGTCGATGCGGGCGCCGAATTAGAGGTAAAATTATCCGTCGTAAGCTTGACCATCTGTTCCTGCAGTTCTAACACAGTCTTTTCCTTATCTTCTAATTGTCCTTGCAGGAACAGCACTTGCCGCCTCAACTCGGCCAACTCCAGCCTGTTATCGTTCGCTTCGTCGCTTTGTGCGTCATCTCCCGAAGAGCATAGGCCATTGAAGAGACCATTCGTCAGCGCTAACTGACCATCAAATGGAATGTGAGTTTCGGACTGCAACGAAAAATCAGTCAAGGAATCAAGAAAACGCCCCCGTTTTTAGCGCACGAAGCTGAACGAAACTTACCCTCAACAAAATATCTTCGTCTGGCTGCTGGATGATTACAATGAAACATGCAAAACATGAAAATGAAATAAGACGACACAAGCTACACAAATGAAAAAAAATTAAAACAAAAAAAATACGTGGTGCGTTCACATTCTGGGGATCCTCGACGCGTTACATAAATCACCCGGATCCCCAGAATGTGAGCGGCGATAAAATGGCGGAACAAAGCACACAATGGCGCGTTCGTGAACGTCAGAAATAGAATAAGTACCTCGTTTAACACGCGTCTGAGCTTGAGGAGCATGGTTTTAATGCTCATAATGTCCTGTTTCATTGCGGAGTGACTCGCCCTATCTAATCGGATGGAATCGTCGGAGTCGTATCCCGCCGATAAAGGAACACCTTTGGAGAGTCGAAGGGGGCTGCTGGTGACGGAATGTCGCGATCTGGCAGTCGACTTGCTGTCTACGGATTTTGGCGAATCAGGAACTGAGTTCGGCGTGCCGGTTCTAGACCAGAGCAAGCGCGTCGTTTTGCTCGCATTACTGGAATAAAAGAACAAAATCATTTTATGATTCTTCCAAATAGAAGGGTATTATGCTCTAGTTCGATTACGAGGCGAAATGCGACAAGAATTGATTATCAGAGCGCGAAAATGCTTAATTAATTTCTAACAACCATACGGTTCGGAATTATGACTCATGGATTATAATGTTTTGGCTCTTTTGAATATTTGGGTTAATGGATAGAAGGTTCTCGATTTGTTTAACCAGCTGAGAAATTAGAAAATTTAAAATTATACACGTTTTCGGGATTAAGTATATTTATTTGGAAAGACAGTATTTTGGAAGGAAAAGCCTTGGAACGATGCTTTCGTTAGCTACCTTGACCATTTACTACGCCGCTTTTAAACAAACATTTTCTTTCAATTACCTATTCACTTTGAATAACATCCGTAATTATGTAAAAATCTCAATTAGTTAACGTCTCCAAAAATCTGCAAGGTCGGCAACTGCTTAAAAAATTAAAAGTTTCTATTACCTTCATGCACCGAAATACCGAATGACTATTAATGTTTATATTTTTGTCAGGCTGAATGAAAAAAAATTCGTCGAAGTTTATTTCGATAGAAATTCAATCGCCCCTGAACTACGGTCGAACAAATCCTGCTTGTTTGAAAAATTGTAACAACTGGAAAAATGTACTCTTAGTATTAACATGCTTAACTTCGAGTGTTTATAAATATATTTCGAAAGAATTCGACAATAAGCACGTTCCCATTTCAACCATGCAAGAAAATCAATCTATTATTATTAAATACTACGGGCGTGACATGACTAATCTACCTGAAAATGTGGTAAAGCGTTCTTGATTTTATCAAAAAGTATATTGTAAAAGTATATATATATTGATATTCAAAATGCACATACAAAATTTGACAACAATCGGTCCAGTAGTTTCGGAGATTATCTGTCTAATAAAAATCAACACAGACAGACAGTTAGACGAAATCGGGAGTCCACCTTTTTCGTATTCTAGGGGTTATGAAACGTCGAGAAAACATGAAACTAGCAAGTCGCCCGATGGACACGACTATGTATTTCCTTCGTTTACGCTCAGGAAGTAAAAAGAAAAATTGAGAATCAAAAAATTGAGAAATTGGGAAATCGAGAATCGAAAAATTGGGAATGGAAATTCGAAAAATCGAGAAATCGAAATGAAGATTTGAAAAATTGAGGCATTGAAAATCGAGAAAAATGCAGAATCGAAAAATGGAGAAACTGAGAAATCGAGAACTCGACGAATCGAGGAACTGAGAATTCGAAAAATCGAAAAATGCCGAACCAAAAATTTGATACATTGGGAAATCAAGAAAACTATAGTTCGAAAATTCGAAAAATTGTGAATTCGAAAAATCATTCAATTAAAACAGGAAAATTCAAAATGAAAATTCGAAAAATCGAGAAATCGAAAAATGGGAAACTGAGAATTCAAAAAATCGAAAAATTCAGAACCAAAAATTTGAGATAGATTGGGAAATCAAGAGATGGAGAAATTGAGAAATGGAGAGAAAAACTACAATCCGAGAATTCGAAAAATCGAAAATTCGAAAAATCAAAAATTTGAAGAATCTAAAAACCGAAAATCGAGAAATTGAAAACTCGGAAAATTGAAAAATCGAACAATCGAAAACTGGAAACATCCAAAAAAAAGAATAATCATACAATTAAAACAACAAAAATTCAAAATGAAAAATCGAAACATCGAATACTCAAGAAACTGAAAAACGAGAAATCGAAAAATGGAGAAATTGAGAAATCGAGAACTCTACGAATCGAGGAACTGAGAATTAGAAAAATCGAAAAATGCAGGACCAAAAATTTGATACATTGGGAAATCAAAAAAACCATAGTTCGAAAATTCGCAAAATTGTGAATTCGAAAAATCATTCCATTAAAACAGGAAAATTCAAAATGAAAATTCGAAAAATCGAGAAATTGAAAAATGGGAAACTGAGAATTCAAAAAATCGAAAAATTCAGAACCAAAAATTTGAGATAGATTGGGAAATCAAGAGATGGAGAAATTGAGTAATGGAGAGAAAAACTACAATCCGAGAATTCGAAAAATTGTGAATTCGAAAAATCGAAAAATCAAAAATTTGAAGAATCTAAAAACCGAAAATCGAGAAATTGAGAACTCGGAAAATTGAAAAATCGAACAATCGAAAACTGGAAACATCCAAAAAAAAGAATAATCATACAATTAAAACAGCGAGAATTCAAAATGAAAATTCGAAAAATCGAAGAAACTGAAAAACGAAAAATCGAAAAATGGAGAAATTGAGAAACCGAGTGCTCGACAAATCGAAAAATTGAAAATTCAAAAAATCGGAAAATGCAGAACCAAAAATTTGAGATATAGAAATAGAGAAAACTACAATTCGATAACCCGAAAAATTGAAACAGAAAAACCGAAAACTTTGAAAATATAAAAATCCAAAATCGAGAAATCCAGAAATTGAAAACTCAGAAAATTGAAAATCGAAAAATTTAGAAATGGAAAATTGTAAAATTCAATAAGTCAAAAAACCGAAGATTTGAAAAAATCTAAAAATCGAAAATCGAGAAACAGTAAAATTGAGAACTCGGAAAATTGAAAAATCGGCCAATGGAAAGCTAGGGAAATCCGAAAGTTGAAAATCTAAAAATAACCAAAAAACCGAAGAGCTGAGAATTCGAAAAATCAAAAGAGCAAAAATTTTTAAAATCTAAAAATAGAAAATCGAGAAATAGAGGAAATGAAAACAAAATCGAACAATTGAAAACTAGAAAAATCCAAAAGTCGAAAAAAATACAATCAAAAAAAGAAAAGTTGAGAATATGAAAAATCGAAAAATTAAAATGAAAATTAAAAAATTGGGTATCGAGGAATCGAGAAATTGAGAATTCGAAAAATCGGAAAATCCACAATCAAAAATATGAAGAATCTAAAAACCGTAAATTGAGAAATTGAGAACTCGGAAAATTGAAAATCGAACAATCGAAAACTGGAAAAATACAAAAATCGAATAATCAAACAATTAAAACAATGAAATTCCAAAAATTGAGAAACTGAAAAACGAGAAATCGAAAAATTGAGAATTCAAAAAATTGATAAATGCAGAACCAAAAATTTGAGATATATTAGGAAATCGAGAATGGAGAGATTGAAAAATGGAGAAAACTACAATTCGAGAACTCACAAAATTGAAATATCGAAAAACCGAAAAATTTGAAAAATCTAAAAATCCAAAATCGAGAAATAGTGAACTTGCGAACTCGGAAAATTGAAAAATCGGCCAATGGAAAGCTCGGAAATCCGAAAATTGAAAATCTAAAAATAACCAAAAAACCGAAAAGCTGAGAATTCGAAAAATCAAGAGTAAAAATTTTAAAAATCTAAAAATAGAAAATCGAGAAATAGAGGAAATGAGAACAAAATCGAACAATTGAAAACTAGAAAAATCCAAAAGTCGAAAAAAATACAATCAAAAAAAGAAAGTTGAGAATATGAAAAATCGGAAAATGCACAACCAAACATTTAAAGAATCTAAAAATCGAAAATTGAGAAATTGAGAACTTGGAAAATTGAACAATCCAACAATCAAAAACTGGAAAAACACAAAAATCGAATAATTAAACAATTAAAACAATGAAAATTCCAAAAATTGAGAAACTAAAAAATGAGAAACCGAAAAACGGAGAAATTGAAAATCTAGAAATCGACGAATTGAAAAATTGAGAATTCAAAAAATCGAAAAATGCAGAACCAAAAATTTGAGATATATTGGGAAATCGAGAATGGAGAGATTGAAAAATGGAGAAAACTACAATTCCAGAACTTGAAAAATTGAAAATCGGAAAATTAAAATGAAAATTCGAAAAATCGAAATACATATATCAAAAATTCGAACAATCAAAAAAGCGGAAAATTTAGAATTCGAAAATTGTAAAATTCGAAAAATCAAAAAAGCGTAAATTTGAAATATCTAAAAGTCGAAAATCGGGAAACATTGAAATTGAGAACTCGAAAAATCAACCAAAAAACCGAAAAGCTGAGAACTCGAAAAATCAAAAGAGCAAAAATTTTATAAATGTAAAAATTGAAAAATCCAAAAATCGAAAAATAAAAATGAAAATTAAGAAACTGGGTCATGAGAAATCGAAAAGTCCAGGATAAAGAAATGAAGAAATTGATAATTCGAAAAATCGAAAAATGCAGAACTAAAAATTTAAGATATTGGAAAATCGAGAAATGAGGAAAACTACAGTTCGAGAACTCGAAAATTTTAAACATTGAACAACCGAAAAATTGAACAATCGAAAAACCGAAAAATTGTGAATTTTAAAAATCGAAAATTCGAAAAATCAAAAATTTGAATAATCTAAAAATCGAAAATTGAGAATTTGGGAAATCGGAAAATGAAAAAATCGAACAATCGAAAACTGGAAAAAATCCAAAAATCGAATAATCATACGATTAAAACAACGAAAATTCAAATTGAAACATCGAAAAACCGTAAAATTTGAAAACTAAAAATCCATCATCGAGAAATCGAGAACTCGGAAAATTGAAAAATTGAAAATCAAAAAACACAACCAAAAAACCAAAAAGTTAAGAAATCGAAAAATCGAAATATAAATCAAAAATTCGAAAAATAAAAAAAGCAAAAATTTGAAAAATCTAATAATCGAACAATCGAAAACTAGAAAAATACAAAAGTTGAAAATTGGAAAAACTGAAGAATTGAACTATAAATCGAAAATTCGAACAATCGAAAAAAAGAAAAATTGAGGATTCGAAAATTCTAAAAATCAAAAGAGCAAAAACTTAAAAAACCTAAAAATCGAAAAGAAATCAATAAAGGTATATCCGTTAATAAACATTATTATTATTATTATTATTATTATAAGCTGAGAATCTGAAAAATCGAAAGATAAAAATGAAAATTAGAAAAATCGAGAAAGTGGATATCGAGAAATCGAAAAATGCAAAATAAAAAA